TACTCTGCACACGGGCTGTCTGAATTATAAAACGAGCTGCCTGTACTCGATGCCTTCTAGAAGGAAACACTTTCAAAGCCAGAATGAAAATTTGGTGCAGGTTGTTTCACTCTTATTTCTATCATTATCTAATGAGTCATAAGTGCATCCATCCCTACATCTTGAGAACGTTTTGTTTTTTATTATGGGTTTGGGTTTTTTTTTTCCCTCTAAACCCCCATCATTAAAAATCAATTAGCTTATGGGTAACGTTATACAGATGCTTCTGCAGCGAGGGGCTGACATCTGCAATGGCAGCAGCCCAGATACTACAGCAATAGATGTCCAAAAATACCCCACAGAGGAAAATAAACCCCCACCCCTAAAGCTGTATTCTTTCTGATCAACAAAACAGCTGAACGTCCAGCCTGGGCCCACCTCCCTGTCTCCTGCATAATTAGCACACTTCTCAGAGCAAGCAGAAAAGTTTAATTGTCTTTAATTATCCAGTTCAAGGAGGATTGGCTTTCTTGCCTGATGTCCATATAATTTCCCTGCCAACGACTTCATCATCCCTTTACTGGAAGTGGAGTGTAGCTTCTAAAGCTCTCTTCCATAAAAGACACAAAAGTTTCAGTGAAGGCTGTGTTGCTGGCACAAGCAGAGACAAAGGTCCTTGTGTCTACAAGGCTGTTGCTTAGGCTGCTGCATGTGTTTTCTGCGGGGTGGGAGGGAATGAGTTGCAACTAATGTGCAATCAAGAACCATCACAATTACAAATGTAAATGAACAGGCAATTGGCACTGACCTTTGTAGATTGTTAGAGGACTAATTAAGGTATGATCAGACACTCTCTTCCAACAGATTGAGATGCATCTATACAAGCAAATATCTACACACCGCCCCAGAGACAGCAATGCTTTTTCCTACATGCTTGCACACAGCAGCGAGTACGTACACAGACAGACACGGTGTTCAACCCCGGCACCTGCTCTCTGCCACAGAGCAAACAGGACAGAGTGGGAAGGGGAACAAGGCAACTCCACTCACTTGGTCTATGCAGTCCCACTTAACAGTAGGGTTAGTAACAAGGCTACAGTATGGGGGCTGAGCTACCTTTCATTACTGCAACCAGCAGTTTTATGTAAAG